TTTAATTATCTAATAATAAATTAGTGTTTTCTGAGTCCGTGTCGCAAAGATGAAGATGACGATCCTGCGCGCTCTGAAGTAAAGGCCTGCAAGCCCGTCGGGTCCCGAGTTAACCATGCAGAGCATCAGGGAGAAGTTGGAGCGTGGGGAGTTACTAAAAGTTCCCAATGCTTTGGGGAAAGCTGCATTTTGGAAGAGTCTTGATTTGATTACCACGACAAACAGTGAGTCAATTGGTAATGTGCAGTGCAGAATCTGCAAACATATCCTTGCACATGACAGCAAAAAATGCACGCAATAAGCTAAAGCGTGCCGCAAAGCCCCAGCGAAAGTAATTACCTTGAATGTGTCGGGGGGGAAATAGTAAGGAGATATTTTAATTATCTAATAATAAATTAGTGTTTTCTGAGTCCGTGTCGCAAAGATGAAGATGACGATCCTGACTCGCCATCTCCTCATCGGACGCGCCTTTAGAGAGAAATGCATTTTTATAATTTAGATTAAAAAAAAAAGTTTTTGTTTTTGATTTGAATTATTTAGTTTTAAGGTAGTAATTTAAAATGCTCTATAGATATATTTAGCAAGTCTGTGAGATACGGTTCATCATTGTGAAGCGCTCCTGGCCGAAATTGCAGAAAGCGCATCCTGTATGTATCCTTTATTTTACAAAAGCACAACATTTTGTTGATATTGTGAGTGCACACAAATACAAGTATACCCTTTACAGTTCCGAATGATGTATTACTCTTAGCTTTATGAGCAAAAATGACGACATATTTTAAGTTGTATTCCAATGCAAGTGATCTCGCCGGCGCCTCCATGTCCTGAAAGCGCTTTAACTCTCGGCACAAACGATTAGATATGCGTCTAATAGTGCACATTTATCATTTATATAGGTAAAACATTTAAACTAACATTGTGATGTGCTTGAACTGTTTTATAGCTATAGATTTTATTTTAGGCAAGTCGTGATGATTTGAGAAGGTTAAATTGATCAAACATAGGCTCACTATCTGCCGCTGGCCGCTTGGTCGTTACTTTAAAAAACAGAAACTTATATTTAACGAACAAACGTTTTTCTAAATTAACTTAATAAAAAAACGAAACAAAATATAATCACTTTGACATTGCATACAAAACTGAACTATTTTAATAGCTGAAACTATATGACTATTAGGGGGGGAAAAAAGACTCGGGTCAGACTCGGGTCGGTAATTCTGATAAGCTGTCAGACACGGGCCGGGCTAGGGCCTATATTTGAGGTCCGTGCAGGGCTCTACTCTGAAGTCCCAATCTAAATAATGATTTGCGAGCCATCATTTCAGATCAGGACTTCGGAGCGAATCATGAATCTTTCAATTTTCGAAATGATTCACGAATCTGCTCCGAAATCCCGATCTGAATCAAATGATTCACAATTGGTGCTTTGAAGACTGAATCTGAATCAAATCAATTTGCAACGCAGTGGTTTACTGATTCAGAGTTTCGAAAAGCTTTGTTTGAAGGATGTACTTTTCTAGCGTATTTCTTTAACTTGTTAGGTAATGTCGGGTGTGACCTGTTTCAGATGCGGCCCAAATGATAACAACAGTGCTTACATACACATACATTTAATTGTTTGATCAAAACTATTGCTAGGGACAATTTAGTAGTCACTTGGATATTAGTAGAGACATGTCATAGCGTCTCTACTAAATTCCACACCCCCACCCCAAAAAAACCATTTTAAAATTCTTTATTTAAAAATGTAAAAAAAAAAAATACTATTTTTTAATTTAAAATAGCCTAATATTAATTTATTAAATTTAATTATTAAAAAAAATATCTAAAATTAAATATTTTTTAAGTATATTTTAATTTCAGCTAGTTGCCAACAAAACATTTCACATTTTCATTTAGTTTAACTTTACTACTATAACTAAAACGAATTAAATTAATTATAATTATAATTAATTATTAAATTATATTGTAATAAATTATAATTATTTAATTATATTATAATTAATTTAATTATAATAATGACAAGAACATACAACAAAAGTATTAAAACCCACAACAGAAAATATAAAATAGAATTAAATTAGTGATTAAAAAATCAATTAGTGTCTCAATGCTAAACTAACACTCGCCTAATCCTATTCTTTACGTGTGTGTGAAGACCTCCAGCTTGATGCAGTTGTGTAAACTGTGTTTGCATACTTACACTAGAGTGTTTCATCATGTACTGCTGGATGAAACATTGTAGAAATATAAATATGTTTCAAGGACAAACTGTAAGAGTTTGAAAGAAGTGTGTAAACACTGTGGTTCCCTGTTCACTTTCACTTCATGACTTTCTGCTGTTTCTAACTCAGTTCACAGGGAATTCGCTTTTTAAAGCCATTTAAATGTCAAAGCTTCCCCCTATATTTGTTTTCAAAGAAACTCTATTTCACAAAATGCTACATTTCTGTTTCCATTAGAATTTTGTGTTGTGAGTGTTTCATAAAAGCATATACAGGAACAAATAAGGTTATTTACACTTACATTGCATGGAAAAGCAGCACAGATATTGTGTTTACAGATTCATAAATTCATGCAGGTTAATAAGGCGAGCAAATGATGACAATTTGGATGAACTATCGCTTTAAATGGCCAGCAGGTGGAAATATTGTCTCATATTTCATCTGATTCCAAGCTGGATTCTTTCTTTATCTTTTTCTTTCATTATTATTATTATTTGTTCAATTTAAAGTGAGTACATGTATTTAAAAAATATAAATAAACAGTTATAAATCAAAAGTATAAACACTGAAATATAAAGTGAGTTATGCATGGGTTTAGCCTTATTTCCATGGGTTTAAAAAGTTTAGAGAAATGAAACGCTAAAGTTTGCCTTCCGTTTCAAATGTAGTTAAACTGGAACCTCTGTACTGAAACCCCGCGGCTGCTTCGAGAAGGATAGTCAACTCAAGTCCAACAATCAATGGCTTTAATTAAAAAGCATTTGTGCTTTAATTACAGCGTTTGCTTTAGGTCAACCACTCAGATTGTGCTGACTGATGAGACTTAGACCCATTATATCTCACACCCACATGAGTTATACAGGCAAAAATAATACAAGTATTAATGTTCAACAGCGTTCGAGTGAAGCATACAATTAGTAATGAAGTACAAATTAGCCAAGCACTGAATATTCAATTCCTGAATAGCGTATGCAAGTAGTGTTTGGAAAGCTAATATGCAACATTTCTCCATGCATATAACAGCAAAAACTTTGTTTAATGCATCAACTTTAGTATTTTTTTTCACTTTGGGAAAGTATTGGGACATAATAACACTCAGTATAATATTGAATATTGTGTTAAATCATCTGTGATCTGATCTGAAGCTTCTGAGAATCAACTAACAGGATTAATTAGAGTCTGAAATTAAACATTTGTGTTATTTCTTCCTCTATTTTTACAGCATTTGGAATCCTTTGACATTCCGGGAATTTCCTGCAGGAATGCAGAGCAGAGAGAGAGAATGGAAAAGTTGAAAGTTCACTGTGTTTTTGTGTCACGTGCTCAACGAGTGTTGTGTGCTTTTCTCAGTAAGGCTCTCTAAGACTACGCACCAGTAAACATGAACAGAGCAAAGCTGTTGTGTTCATGACCGGGTTCAATAAAATGTCTTTTGCATTTACATCTGTCTATTAATCTTCTAATCTGATTCTGAATGTGGAAGTTTTTCTCTGAGTCTTTGTTTGTTAGTGAGTGTTTGTGCAAACTCAAGCATGACTTTATCACTTCTCACTTCTCTTTACGAGTCCACACAAGTCTCTCTGTGGAGCCACGTTATTTTCACACACAACAGTCACCAACTCAGAAATCTGTGCCTTATATTTCTTACTCCAGCATCACAATAATCCACAAGTAATCCACAGCACTCCAGTCCATCAGTTAACATCTGGAGAAGACAAAAGCTGAAACAAACCCAGCATTAAGACGAGCTTTTAACTCAAATGAGCAAGTGATGCAATGCTTTCATTTTTGCGTGAATTATTCTTTTAATACATGGTTCCTGGTCTTAATGTGAATCAGTGCATGTTATTGCAAAGAAAAAGGTATCAACAAAGTGCAATAACTTACTCTGCCTGCAGTTTCCTTTCCAGATGATGTTATAAAACCTTTGTGAATATTACTGAGCCAACAAGCTAATCAGATTGTGCTTCCATGAATTTTACTCAAGTTTCAACCTGATCTAATGCCATGTAATTTAATTAATCCTAATCACTGAGCTCAAACAAGCAACACATGTCACTTACAATCATCAGTAAAGATGGATGAACTTGAGTGTAAATATGGTCAGTGATCAGCTTATTTAAAAAATCCTTCATATATATATATATATTTTTTTTTTTACGCTGTTTCCCAAAACATATAGTTATGTTATTTTATTAACATTATTGCCACCTTTTTTCAGTCGCTGCTTTTTATTATGTGCATTGGTGCATTGTACATTGTATGGGTCAAAATTATCAATTTTTCTTTTATGCCAAAAATCATTAGGATATTAAGTAAAGATCATGTTCCGTGAAGATATTTTGTAAATTTCCTACCGTAAATATATCAAAAAACTTAATGTTTGATTAGTAATATGCATTGCTAAGAACTTCATTTGGACAACTTTAAAGATGATTTTCTCAATATTTAGATTTTTTTGCACCCTCAGATTCCAGATTTTCAAATATTGTCCTATCCTAACAAACCACACATCAATGGAAAGCTTATTTATTCAGCTTTGAGATGAAAAATCAAAATGGACCCTTATGTCTGGTTTTGTGGTCCAGGGTCACAAATGTGTCATAAACCACAACAACAGCATCAGCAGACGCGCGCGAGAGGACAGAACGCAGCAGCACATTGAAGGCGAGCGCCTACTAGCGTTTATTTCCCGGGATTATGACGTCACCGGCAAGCCCCGCCCCCCGCCTCGCTTTCGCACTCCGCAGTCGAAATCAGTTTGTTTTGCGGCTTCGAAGCGTCACGTTTCCACGCGCGAGGACATGGCCCAGGCGACGTTAGTTAGAAAGCAACAGCGAATGAGGCAAAAACAAGCGCGGGAAACCGCAACTTCACGCTGACGCCGATTTAAAAAGCCCTTCGCAAAAAAGTTTCGCCGGTGACGTCAGATGTAACGGACGACGCTTCCCGGTGTGCGTGTTTGTTTGTCTTTAATCATTAAAACCGGACGGAATGGGGGCCAAACAGAGCAGTCCCGCTGAAAACGGCCGCACTCGAGCGTACTCCGGCTCGGATCTCCCGTCGAGTAACGGCGGCAGAACGGCGGCTGTGGCGATGCGGTTTCCCGCTCACGGCGCCTCAGGTGCTTCATCTTCATCGGCGTCGTCCTCAGCGGCGGTGGCCTCGCACTATACCGGCTCCAGGACGCGCTCCGTCGGGGGAGGCACTGGAGGACCGGCCGCAAGACCCCAGTCGAGCATTAATATACCGACCTCGGGAGCGTACAGTTCTCAGGACTCCGGTAACAGCACACCGGAGGAGAACGGCGGAGAGAGAGAGCGGTCCACCGGCGCTCCGAGGCTCTTGATCGGATCTTTACCTGCTCACCTGTCGCCTCATCTCTTCGGAGGTAAGAGTTACGCAAGTCCACCTAAGCAACAACCAGTTTGTGTTCAACCAGATGTTTAACCGCCTGTTGTGAGTAACCGACCCACACAGCGATGTCAACTACCCATATACATATACACGAAAGTATTTGAAGTTCGCGTTTTTGTGTTAATATCTATGTAAATGTGTTTATATGTAAAGGTCACTAAGCTCAAACTCTATTATATCTTTAAAAACTCTCATTTTCGGGGGAGTCTGCTAAATGATGTTGTGATGACATTGCGTGATGACGTCATTACGTAATCACGACGCAAAATTGTCAGATCTCAGCAAAAACGTGTATATATATATATATTTATTTTATATATGTTAGTTTAGATCTGTTCGTAGCAATATAAATGCATAATGTAGTATTAAAATATAAATGGCTATTTTTAAATCCATTGAACGGATAAAACCTTTTCCATTTTTCTGCATATTTTTCTTACAGTGTACTGTAAGAAACAGTGCAACTCATCAACAGTCGCAGGTACAAGCTACTAACAAAGTGTCTCATAAATGAAAAATAACAATAGTCAATTATTATTACTATTAAACAATTGCAAATAGCAGATAACTTAATTCCTGTAACGTGTGTACTGCTAGGCATCTTTGGTTTCCTCTTTTTGTGTAATTTAAATGGTAAATTGTGCCTTTTTATCGTTTGAGTCGCTTATCAAAAGTTGCTAAAACTGCCAAATAAATTTTTAAAAATAGCTAAATTTGTTGCTAGGTGCTTTTGGAAGAAAAAGTTGCTAGGGTAGCCTGAAAAGTTGCTAAAGTTGGCAACACTGCCCATCTTATGTCATGATCAAGGTTTTTGAACCGTCAACCTAAACAGTTTTCTAGTTAACAGTTACAGGTTCTAGTTTTAGCGTCTTTAACCAGCTGGTTAAACCGGATCTATACCCACATGTTATGAGTAACTGACCCATAGGCAGTGTACTGACTGTTGTTGGTAGTTGATATGTGCCAACTACCCTTATAAATATACAAGAAAGTCAGTCATATTGTGCCCTTGAAGTTTCACATCAATGTTTTTATGTTAATATCAATGCAAATGTGTATGTATAAGTTTAAGAGGTTAACAAGTTTAAGTGTCAAGCTCAAGTTTTTATTTGTGAACTACTCATCTTATAATAGTTAATGGATCTTCCCTTGTGGAGTTTGAACTTTTCTACCTATAGTTTAGTGGAAAACTTGAGTAACTTTTTTTTTTAAGCCCCGCCCCCCGCCTCGCTTTCGCACTCCGCAGTCGAAATCAGTTTGTTTTGCGGCTTCGAAGCGTCACGTTTCCACGCGCGAGGACATGGCCCAGGCGACGTTAGTTAGAAAGCAACAGCGAATGAGGCAAAAACAAGCGCGGGAAACCGCAACTTCACGCTGACGCCGATTTAAAAAGCCCTTCGCAAAAAAGTTTCGCCGGTGACGTCAGATGTAACGGACGACGCTTCCCGGTGTGCGTGTTTGTTTGTCTTTAATCATTAAAACCGGACGGAATGGGGGCCAAACAGAGCAGTCCCGCTGAAAACGGCCGCACTCGAGCGTACTCCGGCTCGGATCTCCCGTCGAGTAACGGCGGCAGAACGGCGGCTGTGGCGATGCGGTTTCCCGCTCACGGCGCCTCAGGTGCTTCATCTTCATCGGCGTCGTCCTCAGCGGCGGTGGCCTCGCACTATACCGGCTCCAGGACGCGCTCCGTCGGGGGAGGCACTGGAGGACCGGCCGCAAGACCCCAGTCGAGCATTAATATACCGACCTCGGGAGCGTACAGTTCTCAGGACTCCGGTAACAGCACACCGGAGGAGAACGGCGGAGAGAGAGAGCGGTCCACCGGCGCTCCGAGGCTCTTGATCGGATCTTTACCTGCTCACCTGTCGCCTCATCTCTTCGGAGGTAAGAGTTACGCAAGTCCACCTAAGCAACAACCAGTTTGTGTTCAACCAGATGTTTAACCGCCTGTTGTGAGTAACCGACCCACACAGCGATGTCAACTACCCATATACATATACACGAAAGTATTTGAAGTTCGCGTTTTTGTGTTAATATCTATGTAAATGTGTTTATATGTAAAGGTCACTAAGCTCAAACTCTATTATATCTTTAAAAACTCTCATTTTCGGGGGAGTCTGCTAAATGATGTTGTGATGACATTGCGTGATGACGTCATTACGTAATCACGACGCAAAATTGTCAGATCTCAGCAAAAACGTGTATATATATATATATATTTATTTTATATATGTTAGTTTAGATCTGTTCGTAGCAATATAAATGCATAATGTAGTATTAAAATATAAATGGCTATTTTTAAATCCATTGAACGGATAAAACCTTTTCCATTTTTCTGCATATTTTTCTTACAGTGTACTGTAAGAAACAGTGCAACTCATCAACAGTCGCAGGTACAAGCTACTAACAAAGTGTCTCATAAATGAAAAATAACAATAGTCAATTATTATTACTATTAAACAATTGCAAATAGCAGATAACTTAATTCCTGTAACGTGTGTACTGCTAGGCATCTTTGGTTTCCTCTTTTTGTGTAATTTAAATGGTAAATTGTGCCTTTTTATCGTTTGAGTCGCTTATCAAAAGTTGCTAAAACTGCCAAATAAATTTTTAAAAATAGCTAAATTTGTTGCTAGGTGCTTTTGGAAGAAAAAGTTGCTAGGGTAGCCTGAAAAGTTGCTAAAGTTGGCAACACTGCCCATCTTATGTCATGATCAAGGTTTTTGAACCGTCAACCTAAACAGTTTTCTAGTTAACAGTTACAGGTTCTAGTTTTAGCGTCTTTAACCAGCTGGTTAAACCGGATCTATACCCACATGTTATGAGTAACTGACCCATAGGCAGTGTACTGACTGTTGTTGGTAGTTGATATGTGCCAACTACCCTTATAAATATACAAGAAAGTCAGTCATATTGTGCCCTTGAAGTTTCACATCAATGTTTTTATGTTAATATCAATGCAAATGTGTATGTATAAGTTTAAGAGGTTAACAAGTTTAAGTGTCAAGCTCAAGTTTTTATTTGTGAACTACTCATCTTATAATAGTTAATGGATCTTCCCTTGTGGAGTTTGAACTTTTCTACCTATAGTTTAGTGGAAAACTTGAGTAACTTTTTTTTTTTAGTTAAAGTAGTGCTGGGCGGTAAAATTTATATCACGGTATTTTTTAAAACTATTCCGGTTTCACGGTACATGACGGTATTTATTTTTTAACCATATTTTCTCCTGATTGAGAGGAAATACTGCAGTATATTGACTTAGAATGACTTATTTTACTGTCATGATGAGTGAATATTGTCAAAAAATACCACACTAAATAGAGACTAAACACGACTGCTTTTAATACATGTTAACCAGGAGTCACTCTCATTTATAATCACGGCATCGTCTGATAAAATCAGCATGCATCTACACTAAAGAGCAGCTATGCGGTTGTTTTGGCTAGATTACTTTTTTGTCTCGTGCAGCGCACTGCCTGCGTCTGAGTAACAAACTAAAAACAACAACAAACTAAAAAGTGCATGAGGTATTAACAGATGAACTACGCTCATATTTATAATTCCAAACAATCAGTAAGAGTGTATGGTTCGGTAACGGTATGAACGGTAAGTTAAAGGTTCTAGTTAGTCCACCTGAGCAACGACCAATTTCTGGTTAAACCAGATCTATACCCACCTGTTATGATAAACCGATTCATAAACAATGTACTGATTGTTATTGGTTGTTGATATGACATACTTGACCTGTTCTAACTCTTGTATATTTATATGAGTAGTTGACACGCATATCACGCCCATGAAGTTTCATATCAATATTTTATATTAATATTAATGCAAATGCATAAGTGAATGTGTGTGTGTATATATAAGTTTGAGAGGTTAAGTGTCAATTTTTTTTGTTATTATTTGTCAACTACCCAGCTTATGTCATAATGGTGATAGTTAATGAATCAACCTTTGTGGAGTTTGAACCTTCAACCTTTTCGTTACCAGCCAAGATCTTTAACCACTACTAGATCACACCACCTATTACGGTTAAATCAGCCGAACTAGTGGTTTGTTTTTATGACCCAAAGTAGAAAGATGTTTTGGTTTATTACTGTTGACGCGATCTGGTGACCTTCAACCTTTTAGTTACTAGCCCAGTGTCCGGTTGCATAATAAATAACCAAGTCTTACAAGTTAGACGTGTTTTTTAATTTTTTTTTATTAAACTGGTCATAACACCAAGTCAAGTTACATTAACAAGTAGATTGGCCTTATTTGAATCTGAAAAGTAAAAGTGCATAAAGCGTAGTGGGTGTGTTTATGCAACTGGACACTGATCTTTAACCAGTAGGTCAAACCACCGCTTACTAGGTTAAACCGACCAAACTGGAGGTTTATTTCCTGCAGTGGAGAAAGAATATGCTTTGGTTTATTATGGGTTGAAGTGATCTCTTTGTGGACGGATGTGATGAACCTATTTTTATTCTGGATGATCTTTTCTAAACTGGTGCAGTTTTGTGCAGCATCGCAGGCCGTTTTTTACAGATGCATGCTGGTGCATCTGTGGCGAGAGACTGCGACGTGTTCAGAGGAACCAACAGGTGCGGTTAGGGAGTTGTCTGATCAGGTGTAGAGATGATGGTTATTTCCGAGCAGTTCAGTCGTCATGCGGGTCTTTTGTTGTTGTATTTCTGAGAACCTGCTCAGTAATCTGATGTTTCATCAACACTGGTGTCATGTGGTTTAACTGGCTGAATCTCAGGAAACCTGTCAAGAACAGGTTCTGGTCACATTTCACCTCAAAATCAGAAGAGAAAAAATAAATAAGAAAATGAAGCCTATTTTTTAGGGCCATTACATTTTCTTTTACACTGTGCACATTTGTTGAAGTTATGGGCGATTCCACAGTTTAGGCCTAACTGCAAGGACAATAGCCTGCAAAATCAATCTTCATGGAGAAAGCCATTGTCCTCAGGTTAACATCCTGAGAAAACCTGGGGTACAGCTGTGTGAAAAGCAGGATAAATCTGGCAATGGTAAATTAGTCAAATTTGATCAAAGTTGAGTTGATGTAAAATTTAGCGTATGTAACATGGACGGAAAAACAGTGTAAATTCAAGCAGAAAGTGTACTTAATCTAATTCAGTTTAATAAAATTCTGGTTGAATCCCAGTTCATGTTTTGCTTTGTTCCTAATTTGGTATAGTTATGAGTCATGCGTTGTGTATGGTTCACAAAACTGGTAATAGGACTTCTCCCCTTGTGGACAGAAACTGTGGAATCGCTCTTATTTAAATTGTAAATTATTTGTTGTACTGCTTTAAAGGAATAGTTCGCCCAAAAATGAAATCTGGCTGATAATGTGCTCACCCCCAGGCCATCCAAGATGTAGATGAGTGTTTCTTCATCAGATTTGGAGAAATGTGTCATTGCTTCACTTGCTCACCAGTGGATGCTCTGCAGTGAATGGGTGCCGTCAGAATGAGAGTCCAAACAGCTGATAAAAACATCACAATAATCCACAGCACTCCAGTCCATCAGTTAACATCTGGAGAAGACAAAAGCTGCGTGTTTGTAAGAAACAACTCTATCATTAAGAGATGTTTAACTTCAAACCATTGCTTCCAGCTAAAATACAATGCTTCCTCCAGTGAAAAAGTCCATCTCCTTTTGTCTCTCACATCAAAATGCAGCCAACATATTTGTTTAGAGCTGTTTTGGCTTGTAAACGGTGCTTGATCTGTGCAGATTTCTCTCCTGATTCAGACCAGATGATTTTTTCACTGGAGGACGCGTTATGGATTATGGATTTGAGTTAAAACATCTTAATGCTGGATTTATTTCAGCTTTTGTCTTCTCCAGATGTTAACTGATGGACTGGAGTGCTGTGGATTATTGTGATGTTTTTATCAGCTGTTTGGTCTCTCATTCTGACGGCACCCATTCACTGCAGAGCATCCATTGCTGAGACACTGATGCAGTACTACATTTCAAATCTACATTTCAAAACATTGATATATGCTCCAAATCTGATGAAGAAACAAAAAATTTGAGTGCATTTTTAGCAAACTTCCATTCATGGGTAAACTGTTCCTTTAAAATAATTGCAAATTAATTTAAAACATTGTATTAGTGTAATTTCTTATAATCTTTCATTTTAATATTTCTTTTAAAATGTGTTTTACATTATTGAAAATAACCATTCTGAATCATTACCCAGGTACCAATTACATTACATTTTTATTTATGCAATTGGCAAATGCTTTCCATTTATGCATTCCTACAATTCATGCATACATAGAATTTTTCAGTTCATGCATTCCCTGGGAATCAAACCCATGACCTTTGTGTTGCATATTCTACTGTTTGAGCTACAGGAGGGCTTTACTTGCAAGTAAATAATGGTTGTAAAATGGGCTGTATTTTTATCTTTTCTCTTGATATTGTGGTGAAATATGGCTTCTACATGTTTTAACGTGATAACTGCTGATGTTTATTTTCATTTTGGCTGTTCATTGTTTCTTACAAACAATATTCAAATCCAGTGGAAAGGCAGGTGAGGCTGTGCGTTTCTGAGACGGAATTTCCCCAGCCGTTGAATTAAAATTCTGTAACAGGCTCTCGCTGGTGATTGAAGTTAATCTTTAAACATTGTTGAAATGGCTATATGACTTTTAACCGACTGTGGATGAGATCAAGGAGGGAGTTTTTAAAGGGAAATGAGACTTTAGTTCACTTTCAATTATTGAAACGCATGGGGGAATCCTACCTTTAACAGACTCTCTCTGTATCTCTCTGGCAAAATCATGCAAAATTTAGCATTTTCATAATCAGCATTTATCAGTAGTGTTTGCTAAAGCAGTATCATTAGTACTAGTGCTCTGAGTGATGAATTG